GCCAGGCTTACTGTTGACTTGGGGGACATCTTATTCTGTCATTTAGTGAAAAAAGTTTTATATTTACCTTTAAATTTTACTTCAATAACACTTTATCTTGTCGTTATTTTTTCCACCCCTGTTGTTCTTTTTCCTTCCTGGCCTCTCATCTCCTTACACACCAAACATTGTCTCTCTCTCTCTCCACCAAATCCGTCAGACAATCACCCTCACATGCTGATTGTTGGCGTGAGCGGTGAGGGGCAGTGTGTTACTATGGCTGTGGCTCAGTCTGCAGTATGGGAGGCATGCTGAGGCTGCCGGAGCCGCTCCATTCCTGATAGAGTATCGCATGTTGGCTCAGCCCAGAGGACACTTCTTAACTATGCAATGGATTTCAAACACAAAAGAGGCACCTGCAGGCAGGAAACCGTTTGACTTGTGCTGCATTTGAAGGTAAGTTCAGGCAGTTTGACGAAGTGACAAAGCTCTGATTAAGTCTTCTGATGGTATTTTGGTGCTTAAGAAAGTGTTTGATGACACTGCCTAAAGGTTTCCCATGAAACCTTATCGTCAGAGTAGTTCCCTGTGAAGGCCGGCTGTCTTTAGCCAAATCAATGATGTGAGAACGGCTGTAAATCCTGACTTGAGGGTGCAGCTCTTGGCCACTTATAAACTGAATGCAGACCGCCTAGAAGAAAAAAAAAAGCCCTCAACATTTCAGTCTAAAATGTGTCAGAAGTAAATCAGAGATAATGCATCGCCTCCCAATGCTTTCTCCTTATTTGGAGAATGAACGGACCTACCGGAGAGCTACTGTAAACTGCAGCTCGGCTGATAATTTAATTACATGTACGAGAATGACTTCCCAGCAGTCTGGATCATTCCATTAGCGTTACCTCGCTGCGAGGAGCCACCAAGTCTGGTCTGAACCATTAACACCAGCTGTCTCCGCCGCGCTACCATTAGCACGAGTTTCAACAATCGCAGCAAAGCATGTGGAGGATGATTCAACTTTAATCTGATCTACAGCAAACCGTGCTGTCCTGCCATCTTCACGTCTGTTTGCTTCACTGTTTGTCTTTCACGTCCTCCTACTAGCTCAGGGCTCATGTGTGGTTTGTTTCTGTATATTTAAATGACTTAATTCATGACTCTCTGGTGTTTTTACTGCCTCTGCTGCTCTAAAGATGCTGCGGGTCAGCGACAGGTGTTCCACCAGGATGCCTCTTACTCGTGTTTTTGATGCCGTGACATTTAAGCCACTAGGGGGCCCCGAAGCAAATCCGAGCTGTGGACCCCTTGACCCCCGGTCCCTGCCACTGTGCAGCCTTTTCACTAACTTCAGGTTCAAAGTGTGTGGTAGGCAACACACGGCAGCTTTGATATCCAGTGTTTCGCCTGGAGCCCAGTGTCAGCCAGCTTTGATGTGTGTCAGTTTGTTTGTTATAATCTCATTACGCACGGCTTTATTTAGAAATGTGCATTAGAGGTGTGAGGAGCCGAAAAGTTACAGCACATGCTACTTAGACGCACCGTCCTCAGTTCAAATCCAGCTGAAACTCCCTTGTTGCCGCTCCCTGCTTGTTTCCCTGCCGCCTTCTTTAAGTTCAAAAACGTAATCTTTCGAAATATGCCTCATCCTGAGTTTTAAACAAATGCCCTCAACAAGATAGTGCATCTAGAATCAGGTGAACATGCAACTTATCTGCTACAGTCTTCTGTACTAAATGAATATATTTTGACACAGAAATGTATCTGGAGACCTTTGAATTAGGACCAACGGGGCTTTAGTCAACTCTGCAGCCAGGTGTCAACGTGGGAAAACTCTGCTTTACAAAACTCACCAAATGGAGAATCCAATAATTACCACCGTCTGGTTCTAAATAATATTTGGGTCCATTGTAGGAACTTGGGGCTGCAAGATGGATCGGTGGTTAGCAGCGTTGACTCGCAGCTGGAAGGTTGTCGGTTCACGTCCCGGTGAGGACACCATCTCCATGTTCTCCCCGTGCAGCGTGGGTTCTCTCCGGGTTCTAAATTGTCCGTAGGTGTGAATGTGAGTGTGCTTGGTTGTCTGTCTCTAAGTGTAGCCCTGTGATAGACTGGTTACCTGTCCAGGTGAACCTGCCTTCACCCTGAGTCAGCTGGGATAGACTCCAGCCCCCCACCACCCTAGTGAGGATTAAGGTGTAGAGATGATGGATGGATGGATGGATGAACTTGGGGCAGACACAAGGAGGCCTGAATGGCCTCATAATTGGTCCTCTAACCACTGCAGTGTTGGATCCTACAGCTTCAACCACAACATGAACCCTAAACGCACCGAAACAACAACAAATAGTCGTTACTGGATGTAACTCCAGCTTTGACTGCAAGAAACACTGAACTGTTGTTATCTCAACCAATTTGGCTGATTTCACCTTGAAGATGACGTTTGTGGCAGAAAGATGGAACCAGTTTTCCTCTGTTAGCGTTGAGACCTGCGCTCAGAAATATCTACCCTGGAATGGGTTTTTCCTCCACTGAAAACGACCCTGAAGGAGGTTTTCTGGAGGCCGTTCCTGTTACCGGGCCGCCCTAAAACTGTCTGCAAGCTCCTGCTGTTATCTGGCAGCAGCAGAACGACTGAAATACACATTGAGCCTCTGAACACCAGGAAGTTTCTAAAAAAATTTGGCATGGAGGCGATGGGGCAGCAGGTTTTGGGTTTTAGAAGGTCGAAATACTATGAAAATACTCAAATATAATTTTACAACATGCTAAGAAACTAAATGCAGAAATATTTCTGTAAACTGAGTCGTGTTCACAGAAATAAATCTTCTTCAGTCTATTCAGTGGAAGATTAACGTTCAAACTGCTCGAGAAGAATCTCAGAAAGTGAGATTTGGGAATAAAAAGGGATGAAGTGCTTCAGTGTGAACACAGTGTGAGGGACATTCAGACTAAACAAGCTGATATAAACGATGTGCTTCACCCACATGTACACCTCCAGCGCCCAGTTTTACAGTGAGTTCATCACACCGTGAATTTGTTTTATTAGCTGCTCTTTGCTTCTAAACACAGCGGAGCAGCTGTGTCAGACTCTCACTGTCTGAACAAGACAACTGCAAACTACGCACACAAAACGCATGCCATCCAAATAACCTTCCAGAAACAGAAGCATGACATCACTGCCGAGACGCACCCAGTGTGTCCGCCGTGTTTGTCCTGTTGTGAGGACATCAGTCTGTTTCCTGCCTCCTTCAAACCAAGTCCTGGTAATGTGAATCATTCAGTCTCAGGGTGAAGACATGACTCGGGGTTTTAGCTGTGGTTTGGCTGAACTCTGCGTGTGGTTGTAAAAGCATTCCTGTGCCGTCACCGTGCCACCTGATAGTCCCGCCTTCCGGGAACGCCATGAGCTTTATGTGCCGCGGAGAGACGAGCGGCTTAGCTTCTGACCTGCCCGAGATGCAGCCAACATTTACACGCGTGTGTGAACGTATGTGTTGATGTGACATGCGTGGACGTCTAAGGATGCAGCAGAGGACGGCGTGTATACGGTGAAACATCAGAGAGCATTCCTCCTGCGGCTTTAGCAGCACACGACACGCCGCCGCCGCCCCTGACCTTTTTAACGGTTATAAGAAAGGTGAATAAATAGCTCTGACTGTGTGTCTGCATTAAAGCGCATGTAGAGCTCTCTTTGACAGGCTTTCTAGTCATGCATGTAGATCTTTATAGGGCGGAGGCGATAAAGGTGAAAAATTTACGATTAAAGGTTTCATGTCAGTCAATATCGATGATTATTAATGATTTAAAACAACTTGCTTCTAACAGGCCAGCAGGAGAAAGGCTTCATTTGGATTTAAACACTTTAACCGTTTTATTAAAGTTCACAGGAAATAACAATTTAGACATTTAATAGATAAAAATAAAGAAGGTTAAAGGAATGACTCTAATACATATTCAGTTATAAAAGTAAGTAAGACTCTGAGAGTTAAAGCTTTGCCAGTTTGGGTCCCAGCGAGACACTTTTCTTCCACTTTTTGTTTTTAACACTTTGAGCCTGTTTTCCTTTATAACCTACGTTTTGTTGCAGTAAGACGCCAGGCACTGACAACACCACACATACATGCATACAGAGCTGTTAAGCTGCATGTCAGACATCCATTAAACCTTTTGAGCTCCAGCAGTTTTTTTTAAGATTTGCTCATCAATACAAACTACAGTTTGCCAT